CTGACAGTAAGATCAATAAAAAGCTATTAAAGCCTTTCCCCAAATACACACATTCACAGAGCTATTTCACAAAGGCATATAAACTTAAGTCATTTGAGATTGATACCCTAACAACCACTTAGCAAAATAGGAAGGAGAAACTAGGGACTTAAGTTGGTGACTTTGTGACCTCAGTGCAATGGTAGGTACATTTCATATTACAAATACCAAGGAGGAAATTCATTCATTTCCTACAGGTGTCAAAGACAGGAAGATAAAGTCACATATTTAACTCTCACTGTGATGTTAAAAATATTTTAATAACCACAGTCAATATTTTATACCAGCAGACATTGCAAAAACTATCTAAGCCTTGTTTGTGTTTGAGAAAGTATCTTCAGCTATACTTACTTGAAAGGTCTTCATGCTAAAAATAAAGCTAATTTTTCAAATCTCTAAAACCTCAAAGTTTTTCTTTGAAAAATCAGCATTTACTGAAATTATTTTCTTCTACACTTTCACCTCCTCAAACATGTTTCTATTATACATAAAGAATTAACATATCAAAATAAAATTTTCCAAACTGAGAATTTTAAAAGTTAAAATTGATTTCATTGAAGACAGGAAATACACAGTTTGAAAGTGATATTTGAAATCTTCAACAAAAACTGTCATTTCTGACCTTCATTGAGAAAATGAAATAAAATACACTGGAATATTCATTTAATAGGGAATTTACCATTTAATGACAGAAGAGAAACTGTCCAAAACAGATGAAACAATCAACCATAATTGTGAACAGCTGCACACCTTCAGAAAACAAGCAAAAATTCTTACAGAAAAAGCAAAAAGAAGTATTTGTTCTTATTAAAGCCAAATGATTTCCCATGAGGGATAAAGCTCATAATAATCGGTCAAGACTTTATTGGCCAAGAGAAAACTCAACGAATTAAGAAAAGAAAATGCATATGACAAGGGGAGAAAATTCAATAAAGCAGAGCTTATATTTAATCTTTTAGATGAAAAGGGGCTTCTTATGCCCAATGTTTAAAGTGGCACATATGTCAAAGGTCTGAGAGGACCACCAAGTCACATGGATTATCAGATCACCAAGAAAGTGAGAGCATTAATCTGTGATGGCTGAGGGATAAAGTATCTAAATGTATCCTCTGTGGACCAAATGTCATCACCATGTGATCAAAATCATGGAATGTTCCCTGCATCAAGTCACTATATGTTTCCAATAATTTCTCTACAAGAGAGATCTATAATTTATCCTGTTGAACTTAGAAGACTCTCTCTGGACCAGCAGACTTAAAAATTTACTATGCCTTCTTTTGTTAACACCATAGGATCATGCATTTTCAAAAATGGAATCCAGTAGAAAGGACACTAAAGATGACACCTGATTCAAGTTCAGCCTTTCTTCCTCTATTTCATCCTCCATTCAGATGTTGAAGGAGAATTCCAGGGGACAGTTCATGCCAAGTAAGTATGAACATCCAGAAGAATACTCATCATTGAGAGATGCCCCTGGCTTAACACATCTTCCATTAACATAAAAAATGTCTCTACACTAAGCACTGAAATATTTCCTCTCTCCCACATCCTGGAAGCATCCAGCCCTATACTGAGCCTACTTCTGAAGATCCTGAACTACAGCAAAATTCCTTTCTAACAAAACTTTTCTAAAGAAAATTTGCACTTTCTCTTTTAGCTTCATTTCTGTTGAGTGATTACACTACTACTCGAATGAAAGCTTGATAGAAGTATGATTCGGGTAATACTTTACTAATGTAGAATATTTAAGTGTGATTCCTGAGAGTAATTTGCTTCCATTTTAAATTTACTTTGTCTTTTTAAACCATCTTGAAATTTTCCCCTTTTCGTTTTATTGCTGTTAGTTAAGTGAATATGCAATTGCTTATACTGAAGGATATAAGGTAGGATATATTGGTAGGATATAATTCTTTTTAAAAAAAATTTAATGTTTATTTATTTTTGAGACAGAGAGAGAGCATGAACAGGGGCGTGGGGGAGGGGATAAGGGGTCAGAGAGAGAGGGAGACACAAAATCTGAAGCAGACTCCAGGCTCCGAGCTGTCAGCGCAGAGCCTGATGCAGGGCTCAAACTCATGGACAGTGAGATCATGACCTGAGCCAAAGTCAGAAGCTCAACCCACTGAGCCACCCAGGCGCCCCGGTAGGATATAATTCTTAAGACATTTTTGTACAAACGTAGATTATTTAAATGTGACTTATGAATAAATTGTTTACATTTTATTCCTTGTAGACAGTGTAAATGTAGCTTTTTATTTTTAGTTTTTAACAAGTCCCCCATAACATGAACTATAGCAAGAATTTTACACGAGTAATTCAGCAAATGGAGATATGTGAGACTCAAGGGTCATGTCTGTACTCCAAGGGCTGGGTTTACTGTAAGATAAAATATAGTAGCTTGATATCTACATGAGTAAATTTTAATTTATTTTTAAAAGTAAGTATTACTTGGTTTCTATCATTGTATCTAATTCTCTGTTATGTCCTGTGAATTATTATATATGGGCAGTTTATGTCCTTAGAGAGTTAACAATAAAAAGTAACCTCTTTAGGGATGCCTGGGTGACACAGTCCATTTAGTGTCTGTCTGGCTCTTGATTTCGGTTCAGGTCATGACCTCATAGTTCATGAGATGGAGCCTGCCATGGAATTCTCTCTCCCTCTCTCTCTGCCCCTCCCCTTTTTGCATGCTCGCGCGCGCTCTCTCTCTCTCTCTCTCTCTCTCTCTAGCTCTAGCTCTCAAAATAAATAAATAACCATTTTTTTAAAAAGTAACCACTTCAAATTTTCTAGTTAAAATTAAAGTTTAAACTTTTACATCACTATCTTTAAGATCATATATCCAGCTTCCACTTTTCTATACTGAATGGCATCATTTTTTTTTTTTTTTCTGACTAAACATCCCTTGTAGGCCAGGACCATCCTGTAGTACAGTATCTCTGAACACAGTAGACCTATAAACATTGTAAATAGATTGATAATATGGTACAACCTAACAAACATTTACACATTTATTTTGTGTAAGATTAGTGCTAAGTACTTACTGATAACTAATTTAATCTTTATAATATTTCTTCTGAAGTTGGTACTATTGCTACCCCTTTTTAATGTTTGTCTTTATTTTTGAGACAGAGAGAGACAGACCATGGGCAGGGTAGGGGCAGAGAGAGAGGGAGACACAGAACAGAAGCAGGCTCCAAGCTCTGAGCTGTCAGCACAGAGCCCGACATGGGGCTCGAACTCGTCAACTGCGAGATCATGACCAGGGCCGAACTCAGAAGCTCAACCGACTGAGCCACCCAGGCACCCCGCTACCCCTTTTTAAATATGGGAAACTGAGTCACGGCAAGGCTAAGTAACTTATCCAAGACACACAGCTCTCAGTTGGCACTGCTGGAATTCAAACCCAAATGACCTGGGTCTTGAGCCCACTTCAAACCACCCTATGCTGCTTACATGAAGAGCAGTAGCATCCAGTAATTGAAGCTCGAATCAGCAACTGCTGTTGTGTCATCACCATTAAAATTCTAATATGTTCCCAGTCTTGGGGCACCTGGGTGGCTCAGTCAGTTGAGCGTCTGACTTAGGCTCAGGTCATGATCTCACGGTCCGTGGGTTCAAGACCCATGTCGGGCTCTGTGCTGACAGCTCAGAACCTGGAGCCTGTTTCAGATTCTGTGTTTCCCCTCTCTCTGCCCCTCCCCTGTTCATGCTCTGTCTCTCTCTGTCTCAAAAACAAATAAACGTTAAAAAAAAAATTTTTTTAATTCTAATATGTTCCCAGTCTTAATTCTTTTGATCCACATAATTTCTTTGACTCTCTGAGGCTCTAATATTTGGCTAATTACTTACACATTTGACATAGAAACTTCTCAGGAATAGCTATCTGATATTTGAAAAATAATGAAATAAAATGTTCTATCTAGGGGCTCTTGAGTGGGCTCAGTCAGTTAAGCGACAGACTCTTGGTCTGTGTTCAGGTCATAATCTCAGTTTGTGAGATTGAGCCCTGAGTCAGGCTCTGCACTGACAGTGAGGAGTCTGCTTGGGACTCTCTCTCTCCCTCTGCCCTTCCCCTGCTCATACACGCATGCTCACTCACTCTATCAAAATAAATAAATAAACCTTTAAAAATAAATTAATTAATTAATTTTAAAAATGTCCTATCTAATGTGGATGAGTTCATTTATACAATGTCCTTCGCTCTGAAAGTAATATCCCCTTTTCTGCCATGATCTTTACAGGTATGATCAAATGGTTTGCCTTTCTAATAAAATCATTCCTCAGAAGTACTTTCTGACTTTCCAGAAATGAACTAAATGGGGTCTCTGAGAAAGAGAGAAATTATCCTGAAAGAAAAAGAATATACAACATTTTGCAACAATAGTGTATAGTAAATCTAAAGAGTCTTGGCACTTTCCCCACCATAAAATGCTAAGGTTATCACTGAGAAATTACCAAATGCTTTTATCCCTCAAAGGGATAAGACCGTCCACCTGGAGGGGCCCCTGGGTGGCTCAGTCAGTTAAGTGTCCAACTTCAGCTCAGGTCATGATCTTGCGATCTGTGAGTTCAAGCCCCGCATTGGGCTCTGTGCTGACAGCTCAGAGCCTGGAGCCTGCTCTGGATTCTGTGTGTGTGTGTCTCTCTCTCTGCCCCTCCCCTGTTTGCACTCTGTCTTCTCTCTCTGTCTCTCAAGGATAATAAACATTAAAAAACAAAAACAAAAAACTGTCCACCTGGAACTGAGCAGAAGGCTCAGGCTTCTACAGAGACTTATTCAATATTCGTGACCGTAAGAAGCCCAACCAGTGTCTGGGTCATGGTTCACAGGACGAAGGGCTCCTGCCTTTCCCCTTGGTGCTGAGGCTCCCACGTATCTCCAATATATGACAAATGACTTGTTAGTCCATAAGTTCACATAGCTTTAGCAACTGTTATATAATTCTGTCAGCACTTACAGTTAGATTTTAACCAAGGTGACCAGGAAGGCCCCAGCCTGGAGGTCAGACAGAGATCCTGTTGCTGGCTAGAATCCGGAAGAGAATAGAAATTTTCTCATCTGCTGTTCAAGTATCCAATGGGGCCAGAAGCTGAATCAATCATTGGTCTCTTTTGGAAATATAGTTGAATCAGCCCCTATTCCCAGGGGGAAAAAAAGGTTTATAGCAAATAGCCATATAACATAGTGATTCCGTTAAAGATTAAAGATAGTGTCCATAATTACTGTATGGAATGAAAAAGATATACATGTTGATTTTTGTTTAAAAGTAAGCCCAATTAAAACAAAGTCAGAAGTCAAAGAGTAAGAGGGTTTCACTACTATAATTACTAACCTTGAAGTTAGAATAAACACATTTAGTCAAGAAACTGAAAATACAATAAAATGTAGATGCTGAAGACATCTTCCAATGAGATAACTTAGAAGCTAGAAAACAAAACTTTTCTTTTTTCTTCCTGTTTATTAATCAGAAAAGACCTTTTAATATCACAAATGTGAGGGGAGGGAATAAAGCTGGGAGACACAAGAGGCTACCTTGTCAAATCATTTATGAGCCTTTAGACTAAAGATAAATCTTGACTGATATATAGACAGATAGATAGATGATCTATTCTAAGGGGAAGGGCAGAAGTGGCTAATAAATAATGAAACTTAAAACTTATGTCTAATAAATGCTTACTCTAGATCTGTGAGCTAGTAACTCTTATAGAACATACATATATATATATATATATATATACACACACACATACATATATATGTATATATATACTTACATATATAAATTACATTATATATTATATATATTCTACATATATATGTGTGTGTATATATATATAAATGTGTGTGTGTGTATATATATATATATATAAAATATATATTATTATATTAGATCCATTCTCTGCCACTTACTAGTTATATGACATTTGCAAGACAGTTAAACCCTTCGGGAAATAACACAAGAGGGTAATACTTTAGAATGAAAAAAGATCTTTAACTCAAAAGATATTTTCAAATTCAATGTGGAAGATTGCCATAGCATTGGTATGGATAAGTTTTACAATGATGTCTAGAAAAGGCCCCTTCTTACTGAATTCCTAATTATGTTTGTATAAAATGAGATAATGTTTTATAAGTGAATGGTGATTTAACAAGGTTTTATTGCCTCAAACCCATTTGACCCACTGATAAAATTTCTAATATTTATGACATTGTGTAGAACATTCAAAGGCATTCCAATGGAAATTCTCACATCATCCATCAGTTACTTTGAAAACAGGCAGAGTTCTTTATGGTGACATCTGGCTAGTCCCGTGATAACCTTTGATCTTTTTATCTGGGATGCATCCACTACAGCAATCACAGGTTTCCATGTCTTTCCAAGTTAACAGCTTAGTACATTCAGGAAAATCCAAATTTTGTATCTTTACAAGTGTGTTGTTAATGTTTTTATTATCTTGGAAGGGGAAGGGAGGTTCAACAATAGGGATAAATTGCATTCTCTTTAGTTAATACTCACAAGACTTGTGGAAAGTTCATTTCACTCCTTTACCTGTAAGATGGAAGGAAGTGTGGTAAAGTAAAAAGAAGCAGAAAATTTGAAATCAGGAGATGAAGGAACAATCATATATTGAGTATCTATGATGTGCCAGGCACAAGTTTTCTATAAATGTAAATACTGAGTATTCAATACTGTATATATAGTATGTAAAGATATGTCTGTGTGTCTATGTATATATAGTGTGTGTGTGTGTGTGTGTGTGTGTGTGTGTGTGTGTGTGATTTAACTCAATAACGATATTCCAATCTGTCTTCAAATCTCAACTTCATTACTTACCAGGTGGACAGGGGCAAATTACGTAACTACTCTGACTTTAATTTCTTCTATTAAATGACTTATATTATAACATCTACTTCACAAGATGGCTGTGAGGATTAAATGGGATAAAGTGTGAAAAAGTATCTGACAAACTGCCTAGAACACAACAGGCACTCAATAAAATCATAATGTTTATTATGCAAATGCTTAGCACTTAACATGGGCCTATCATTATTTTAAATATTTTATAAATACGAACTTTTAAAATCTTCATAACAATCCTTAGGTCACCCATTATTATTGTCTCTCCTTTACTGATAAAGAAACTGAAAACCTGAGATGTAAAAATGACTTGCTCAAGATCACACAGTTAATAGAGACAGAAATAAAATTAAAACGCAGGCAATTTCATTCTAGAGCTTCTGCATCTAACCAGTAAGCTCTACTTATTTTAAAGGTTTCCTTTAGATATTTTAAAATAAAATAATATTAATCCAATTTTCAAAAACTATGTCAAGATGATTAGAAACTATATTGTCTAGTTATATAGATATACTTCAAATAGCCCATTGCTCAAGTAGAAGATAAAGAATATACAGGAGGCCAATGATACACAATTAGGATAATTCAAGGAGGATTTAAATGAAAAACCTATTAACAAAAGAGTGAGCTGGCCATAGGGAAACCATAGAAGAGTACAATATCTCAGGTTAGAAACAGTGAGGCTGTGTAGATCAGAAAGTACAAAAGGAGGGAATTTTACTGGAACCCAGAAAAAGCATATTGTGTAGGGAAGCACCCAGTAGTAAAATTATTGGGTCAGAAGAGGCAGCCATCACAAAGTGACTGGGCAGAGAGGGAAGCAGGGGAGCGGACACCCTGATCTTATACATCCTTCTTGAGGATCTCCCACCAGACCCCTCACTGGCAACTAGAAGTCAAAGAATCTTGTTGATATTGTCTATACAAATCAACCTCCTGGGTCAGGGAGCAGAAAGAAGGCCAGTTGAGGTATTTTTCTAGATTTCTAAAATATTAACATTGTAAGTATCAAAACTTAACATATTTTTGTATTATCTTATCACATATCTTCTTAAAATTTATAACAGTTTGTCTTCTAAAATAAAGTACATAGTGCACAAATACATTTTTGTACTAATTCTAAAATGGTAGCACCCTCAGGAATAACAAACTCGTATAACCATTGGCCTTAAGCTAGTGTTCACAAAGCATACCCTCCCATTTCCTCAGAACACAAGTAACAAGCACATTTTCAGGTGCTACATGAGAAAGGTTTTTTGGGACAATATGGGATTAAACAAAGTTAAGCAGTTTTCTTAACCGAGCAATTTGCATGGCAGAAACCAGAGCTATTTGTATGGCCGAAAAAAAGATCGGAAGATAATATGAAGTGCATACATAACTAACTAGACCACATGATCTTTATTCTTTCCTAGAAGTATCTTTGCAACTACGGTTGCAAGGAACATGCTTTGAGAAATAATTTTCTTCATACCACTTCCTCACCCTTTCGCAGTGTTGCAAACATGAATTTATTTATTCCTTTAGTCAACAAAGATGTATCAGACACCTACCAGATATCAGATGCTATTCTGCATACTGGGTGTTCAGTGGTGCACAGGACAGATGGGATCCCTTCCCTTATAGACATGCTCTGTTTCATTTTATCATGCTTTGTTTTTATCTCCTTTACTTTTTTGGTAGAGTCTCTGTTTTACCCCCTCACTGCTACATATCACATGACCTTGTTTGTAACTGTGTGCTTGCTTCTGACAGTACTTTTGCCCCAACTCCTCTAAACTTGCTGTTTGTAATCGTTCATGTGTTTGGAAAAGCACATAGCCAAATATATAAGAATGAGGATATGAGGGGCTGACCTTTCCATATAAAATATGAACCATTTTATGTGAATATATATAGCTATTGAGGCCTTTCTTAATTACCTCCTCATGTAATAACTAGTTGAAAGTCCTTCATCAAGTGAGACAGCATACTTCAAGTGGTTTAACACAGAATGTTTGCTTTCTACAGGGAGACCTTCCTGATAGTCTCAATCTTGGCCTTTCTTGCTATGTGACTCATGCCAGCTTCTGTTTCTTCCTCTATAGAATTGTAGAAATAACAGTGCCTGCCTGCTAGGGTTATTACAGAGATCAAATCAGGTAACATACTCATAGCTCACAGGAATATCTAAAGTCAACCATGATTTTTGCAGCACTGAAAGTCCTAATGGATCAAATAGAATAGTATATCTCTACAAGCACTGTGACATGTAGACCATAAAGGGAGCCTTTCACATCAACAGAAATGGCACTGAAGATTAATAATAGGACATCGCTTGATGGCATAAAGCTTGCAGATAGTAGGTTAATATTTTGCTGCAAAGTAATGTTAAAATGTGTGCCCAAATCAATTTTAATCTCACTAAAATAAATAAAATAACTTGTTAAATAAAAAAAAAATGGTTTCTAAACCTCCATAAGGATATTAATCCCACCAGAACCTTGATTTCAGACTTCTGGCCTACAGAATTGTGAGAGAATAAATTCTGTTGTTTAAACTACCCAATCTGTGGTACTTTGCTACAGCATTCTAAGACATACAGCTTCCTAAAATGCACAGCTGATGGAATTTCTGAAGAACAGTGTTTGTGGTCAAGTAGATGCAAAGGTCCACACTCCTGCATACTTAGAGGACCAGGAAACACCATTTTAATCTTATGTGAGTGGTGAGAGAAATTCTTAGAAAATTCCCCTTCATCTTGGGGTTTTCTTTCCTCCCTGACATCTGCCTAATAGGCAGCAACATCCCCATGGCCTCCAGGAACATCGGGTCTTTTAAGAAGAAAAAGATTTCCAAATTGGGCTTTTACATTTTAAAAGGGAAGTCCCTGAGGTGAGGAGTGTATGGATTGTATACCAAAGTAGAGACCAGGGGTGCCTGGGTGGATCAGTAGGTTAAGTGTCAGACTCTTGATTTGGAGCAGGTCATGCTCTCAGGGTTTGCGAGTTTAAGCCCCACATGGGAATCTACGCTCCTGCCGGCATGGAGACTGCTTGGGATTCCCTCTCTCCCTCTCTCTACTCCTCTCCTGGTCAGTTCTCTCCCTCTCCCTCCCCTCTCTCCCTCTCTGCCCTCCCCTGCTCGAGCCCTCTCTTTCTCTCTCTCAAAGTAAATAAACTTAAAAAAAAAAAGACCAGAGAGAAAATAGAGGGAAAAGTAGACGTCCTGGTACCTCAATCTGGAGAGATGGATAGAAGAGATGGGGCCTTGCCTTTGAGGGCCTAGGGGCCCGGGGAAGGAAGCTGCAGGGAGAGGGGAGATGCCTTGTAGGGTGCCAGTAGAGTATCTGAGATGGCCAGCCAAGAGGCCAGCCGTGTGGGAACCAAGCCAATGCCCTAGACCATTCCTGGCATGCACAGCTCCTCATCCACAGAAGGGATCAGCCACAGAAGCCATCTGTGGACCATCCAGAAAAGGAAGTCAGCCTGTGCTATGTAACTTTGCAGGGCCCCATTTGAATTACTCCTGGGACCATAACCTCCCCGCTAATTGTCCAAAAAGAAGTGGTTCATAACAGCCCCCACATCCTACAGAGTGACAGTGTTGGTACCTAGACAGGTCGAGGGGTTGGGTGGACTTATGCATATATTACTCACCCTTGGTAAAGTCTCCAAATTTAGACAAATTGCTGCTGAAAGACAATTAGTTTCATTTTCTTAGATGAAAATGAATACTTTTTATTAAGATGATAATAAGAGAAACATTTTTATTAATACTGAATCATGTGCTAGAAGCTGATGTACTCCTACTGACAAATTTACAAAGTAGGGGTTTATCTGCCCCTTACACATGTGAAACTGCTGCTCATAAAAATCAAGAGTCTTTCCCAAGGTTAAGAAATCAGTTAACAGTCATAATGAAAACAGCCACATAGAGTTCTTACTCTATGCCAAGTAATTTCATGTGTTTTACCTTCTGTTATTTGCAACACATGCTGTTCTTAGAAGGTAGCATCAATATTATTATCATTCCCAGCGGATACATGGGAAAACTGAAGTGGGAAAAATCAAATGACCTGAGGTCACCTTAATAAGTGATAGAACTGAGTACGAACCAAGGCTATTTGACATGGGGTCTGTGTTCTTAGTCACATTCTCTACACCATCATCTTGGTAAGGAAATCTTTCAATCATCAGAAAGCACATTTAGGTATTTTATGTATTACAGGAACATCTGAGATATATTTTATAATTAACCAGAGGTAAAACATTCTTTTCTGTCAAATCATCTTAGCTATCTGTAACACTGTCTAAGTCAACAAACAGATGCTCTAACAAAATATATCAATGTATAACAATGCTAGGAGTAGGTGGCCTTCAAATATTTTTGTGGATTGTGTTGACAGCATAAACTAAAACAACATAAAGTATCCAAATGTCTTCATATTTTTCAATGATATTATTAATTTGATTTTAGGTAATGGCTGTTCCCATAATTATCTACCAAATCTTTAAAATTTCCAGGAAAAACTTTTTTTTTTACTATCCTTTCAAAACTTTAGCTAGTACCAAGGGTGTGGCGGGGGGGGGGGGGGGCAGGCACACACACACATGTGCACTTGTATGTGATTTCTAGCCTAAATCTTTTTTTTTTTAATGTATTATTCCTGTTGGGTTGGTTTTCGGTGAAAAATGGGGGTAAAAGCTGGTCGTTTTTCTCTTTATAAAAATTCTCCACATACTTGAACACAGTTATTATTGTCTAGACCTCCCTTTGGGAGGCAAGCACATGTCTACAGATACATTGTAGTTCGAGCATTACTGAACTGGGAAGGCAGCAAGGGTCATGGTGGGAGATCTAGTTAAAAATCTATAGCCAAAAAAATAAGATGATAATAAAAGCATTTAATTTTGGTATTGGATTCTACTTCACTATGCTACAAAAATATAATAATCTATTAATTTTTTGTCACTTGATGTATCTATCCATCTGTAAAAAGGGAATAAAATACTTGGCTCTATAATCTGCGTATGGTATTTTAAATACAAAGATAAGAGGGAATTTTTCTGGCACTCCAGAAAAAATGATTAACTTCAGAACCAGAGATATTTGACCACGGTGAGTTTTCTCTGTTCTAACAGGAACATCTTTTGTTTTGCTGTCCGCCTCCCACTGGCAGCTGACCTCGCCTTCTTTTCCTACTCACTACTGTGATGGCCCCAATCCTTTTTCCCCCAGATAAGCCTTATTCTTTGTGTCCCTGCCCCCTGATGGGTGGGCTCTGCTCCTCCCCTCTGAAGCTACCACCAACCTCTATACCACCCTAATTCTTCCCAGCCTGACTTCATTCACTAACCTCAATTCCTAGCACCTGCTCCTGCCCAGCACCTCTCTCACCGTTTAAAGTTAGTAAATACAAGAGCAAAAATCTCTGGCAGCCAAACAAACATAAGGAAGCCCATCCTGTAGTTAAAGAAGACACACACATATAGTTTATCAGATTAATATTTTATGCTACAGAACACATGTTAATGGGCAGCGTGCTAATTAGCTATCAAAAGTTAACTGTTTATACATTATTCTTTCAAGATTTTGAACAATGAACCACAAGCACTGAACAAGCAAATGGGGTCTAGGGACATAAATGAGAAACCAAATTATTCCCACTATTTATTGAGTTTCAACCAATGTGCTAGACACAATAGGTACTTTTGAATTCAATACCTTATTTAAGCTTTCCAGCAAAACTGTAAGCTAGATATTTTTACGGTTCTTTTTCAGATGAAGAAATTGTGATTTTTTTTTTAATTTTTTTTTCAACGTTTATTTATTTTTGGGACAGAGAGAGACAGAGCATGAACAGGGGAGGGGCAGAGAGAGAGGGAGACACAGAATCGGAAACAGGCTCCAGGCCGAGCCATCAGCCCAGAGCCCGACGCGGGGCTCAAACTCACAGACCGCGAGATCGTGACCTGGCTGAAGTCGGACGCTTAACCAACTGCGCCACCCAGGCGCCCCTAAGAAGAAATTGTGATTTAAAGAAAAGAAGAAACTTACCTGCGGCCACTAAGCTGGTAAATGACAGAGCTGGTAGTCGAACTCCATCTTTCAATACCCAAAGCTGTTCACTACCGTGCTGTAATCTCCAAAATATATCAGCCCACTTTTGGTGGTTGTAGATCTTCAGATCTCTTCAGAGGCCGCAGGAAATCTTTAGAAATGTTCCTCAAAATGTGAGCCCTTACACAACACCATTCATGGATAGCATATAATTGGGATCACAGTGACATGTGCTTTTTTGTAGCTAAGTTTGGTATAAGATGTACCAGTGGTAAGAAACAACCATATTTGAGAAAGCCTCAGTATAGTAAATCCAATTCCAGAAATATCTTTTCCTATAAGAAACAAATAGTAAAACAGCTTCATGGAAGATTTTCGTAGTAGAAATTGAAGTCTTTGGAAAATTTAAACTTTGTTTTTAAATTAAGCATATTATATAATGCACATACTTTATATTGAATGAAATAAATGTCAAAGGTAAGCATAATTCTTTCCTAAGGTTCCAAAAAAAAAAAAAAAAACAAAAACAAAAACAAAAAAAACAAAGGAAGAAAAGAAAAAGAAAAAATATTTTTAGCCTCCATACCAAATAAATCAAAGTTATGGAAGATTCCTAAAAATCTTTTTTTGAGGTCATGCCCTATTGATTTCATAACCAAATTATCATCACACTAATTTTCCACATCTGTATTTCTAAAAAGCCAAAACCCCAAATTCCTAGAAAATAATATTTTAAACCCTAGATATTTCTCTTAGAATGACAAAAGATAAGTGATAGCTTTCTTAGTTTTAGAATCTTCAGCATTTTACCTCTGATAAGTTTGGATATGGTCAAATATTACAAAGATCTTCATCCAAGACAGAAGAGTAAAAATTTCACTAAATACTGTCTCTAAATATAGATATCTTTTTACTGAGCCCTTGAAATCTATAGATATTCCCTTTTAGGAATCGATTTTTGTGACCATGGAAATATTTTCTTCTATGAATCACTGAAAAGATGGTATCTGTTTTCCCTAGTTTATCAACTTTTTCTAACAACTTCAAGTTATCTTGAATATTCAAAATAATGCTGAACTTCTAATATTATTTTAGAACTGTACTATAATAATGATACTATAATATATTAGAATGATAATGTCATTTCTCTGAATAAAATGAGGTCTTCTTATTTTTAAGAAAGATCCACATTATGAATTGTATATTCGTTTTAGTAAATATTATGCTTGATTGTGAAAAGAAATGAAGAGTTAACCTCAACTCGAGAATTTTCAAGATTATTTGACAAGGTTTCTAAAAGTTGCAACTTGATGGAGATCACAAAATACACTTTAGAAATGTGAAAGAAAATGAAAACAAATGGCACTTGTCTTTTGGAAACATAAAGCAAAAGATTGAAATTATAGATGATCAGGTGATCTCTTGGCTAACTCCAAATAAATATTTTATTTATTATTCAGTGAGTACTCACTCTATTGCTATATCTCACATTCATTTCTTCACCCCCTTTTATTCTGGTATATCTCCTGAGTAGATAGCCCAGAGATTTTGCAGGAAGCCACAGAGATAATAGTGGCAATTATAGAGATTCTAAGTGAGTTTTACCAACAACATTCTGTCAGATGGAGTCCTTTCACCCTTTACTACAACTCAGTGAGAACTGGCTCCTAGAGATGTTAAACAGCCTTAGGCAGTCTGACACTTAATGTCAACCAAAGACTGAGGATAGCCATTCCGACCATAAGACTGTGTTTTGCCCTTAGAAACAATGCTCTGTGTATAGCCTGTCATTATTAAACTTTATGGTAAAAAAAAGAAAAAACATAAGAGTGTATGCAAGCTTTTATAAAACAGCAGTGAAAGTCTATATCAATAGTTTTCTCTTAAAAATACTTCAGATTTATAGGTCGAGATCAAATTCATGGGGCTAAACAAATCAATATTGAAAAACCCTTTACTTTTTTTTCTTGTTTATTTACTTTTATTTTGGAAGTAGAGTTGACAGACAATGCTATATTAGTTTCGGGTGTACAACATGGTGATTCAACAAATCTGTATATTGCCCAATGTTCACTATGGTAAGAATAATAACCATATGTTTCCATACATTATTACAATATTTTTTACTATATTTCCTAGGCTGTACTTTTCATCTCCATGGCTTATTTTATACCTGTTTGTACCTCTTAATCCCTTTCATCTATTTCACCTACTCCCACTTATCTCTCCTCTAGCGACCACCAGTTTTCTGTATTTGTCAGTTTTTTTTGGTTTTATTTTTTAAATTCCACATATAAGTGAAATTATATGGTATTTGTCTTTCTCTATCTTGACTTTTTTCACTTAGCATAATATCCTCCAGCTCCATCAATATTGTCACAAATAGTAACATTTCATTTTTTTATAGATATATATCAAATTTTCCTTAAGCATTCACCTACTGGTAGATACTTAGGTCATTTGCATGTCTTGGCTATCACAGATAATGCTGCAATAAACATAGGCATGTATATATCTTTTTAAATAGTGTTTTCCTTTTCTTTGGGTAAATACCAAGTGGTAGAATTATTGAATTATAGGGTATTTCTATTTTTAGGGTTTTTTAAAATTTTTTTAGTGTTTATTTATTTTTGAGAGAGAGCGAGAGGGAGACACAGAATCTGCAGGAGGCTCCAGGCCCTGAGCTGTCAGCACAGAGCCCAACGTGGGGCTCGAACCACAAGCCACAAGATCGTGACCTGAGCCGAAGTCAGATGCTTAACTGACTGAGCCACCCAGGAGCCCCTATTTTTAGTTTTTTGAGGAACCTCCATACTGTTTTCCACAGTGACTGCACCAATTTACACTCCCATCAACAATGCATGAGGGTTCCCTTTCCTCCACATCCTCACCAATATTTGTCATTTCTTATCCTTCTGCTTTTAGCCATTCTGATAGGTGTAGGGTGATATCTCACTGTAGTTTTGATTTGCATTTCCTGGATAAGTGATGCTGAGCTTCTTTTCATGTTTCTGTGGGCCATCTGTATGTCTTCAAATATCTTCTTCCATTCAGTAGTTTGCTTTTTTGTTTTGTTGATGGTTTTCTTAGCTGTGCAAAAGCTTTTTATTTTGGTGTAAACCCAGTAGTTTATTTTTGCTTGTATTTCCCTTGCCTCAGGAGACATAACCATAAATCTGTTTCTAAGGCTGATATTCAAGGGATTACTGCCTATGTTTTCTTTTAGGGGTTTTCTGGTTTCAAGTCTCACATTTAGATCTTTACTCCATTTTGAGTTTACTGTTGTGTGGCATGTAAGAAATTGGTCCAGTTTCTCTCTTCTGCCATGTCACTTTCCAGTTTTCCCAACACCATTTATTGAAAAGACTGTCTTTTCCCCCATTGTATATTTGTGCCTGCTTTATCATAGATTAATTGAACATATAAGCATGGGTTTATTTCTGGGCTTTTTCTGAAAAGCCCACAGGATGAAAGCCTTCGTTGATATTCTTCTCTTAAATATAGTTTAGATTTATAAATCAAGATCAAATTCATGGAACTAAATAAATCCATATTGAAATATCTCTTAATTTTTTAAGTGCTATATTACCCTAGCCAGTTTTGCCACATAACAAATATTCCAAAATCTCAGTGGCTTCCTAAATAAACATTTATTTCTTGCTCATTTTACATGTCAATGACTAGGGTTAACTGTTGGTTCTGTCTCTGCTCCATGTGTGTCCCTATTCCTGCAGCCAGTCTAAAGAAGCAGCACTTTATGAAACAATTTCATATATACTTGCAGAAGAGAGAAATAAAAGGCCTGCCTAACTTAAGCAACACAGTTGCACTTAAAGCTTCAGTTTCGGGGCGCCTGGGTGGCGCAGTCGGTTAAGCGTCCGACTTCAGCCAGGTCACGATCTCGCGGTCCGTGAGTTCGAGCCCCGCGTCGGGCTCTGGGCTGATGGCTCAGAGCCTGGAGCCTGTTTTCGATTCTGTGTCTCCCTCTCTCTCTGCCCCTCGCCCGTTCATGCTCTGTCTCTCTCTGTCCCAAAAATAAATAAACGTTGAAAAAAAAAATTAAAAAAAAAAAAAGCTTCAGTTTCTATGTGGCAAACATCATATTACATTGGACAAAGTAAGCAACATGGCCAACACCAAAGAACACGGGGAAAGGATGTACACTCCTCCCACAAGAGCAAGCAAGTCACACAGTAATGACAATGATATATAATCCTCTTTCTTGGAAGGAGGGAGTAATTGTGAATATGATCTATCTCAGTTCACCTTCTTGGTCAAGATACTCACTTTCTACACTTCGGCATACAAAATTCACTCACACCTATAAGGAAGGCATCCTAAAAGCTTCAGCAAATCAAAACATCTGTCCTGAAGTTCATGATTCTTGTTTTTTTTTTTTTTTTTAAGTTTATTTATTTTGAGAGAGAGTGAGAGTGAATGGGGGAACGGCAGAGAGAGAGGGAGAGAGAGAATCCCAAGCAGGCTCCATGCTGTCAGCACAGAGCCAGATGGGGTGCTTGATCTCACGACGCTGAGATGACGACCTGAGCTGATATCAAGAGTGGGACACTTGACTGACTGAGCCACTCCGGCGCCCTGTTGAAATTCATGATTCTATTTACAGCAAGTCGAAATAGCTCCTCTTGATTTGGACACATGAACTAAGTAGACAAATTATCTTCTCCACATGCACTCAGCATACAATGGTGGAAGAGAGGCAAGATAAACACATAAGCATTCCCATTTGAAGGATGGAAAAGTGGAGAACACACAGCCCTCGCTGGCCCATAAAAGCTCTGAAATCCCACTGGGCAAACAAAAGGGCATTGGAGATAGGGAAAACTATTTTAAGAAAGTCTTTGATTAGAAGTCAATAACCTGAGATTACCTCCTCAGAGAATTGTTTCCAGGGCAGCTGATGCCAACTTCTTCGTTCCTTTTCCTTTACCCTCCTGACCACATGTGAATAGAAATTTGGAAAATACGCCCTCCTTAGAGCTGAGCAGCGATTTTGGCCCACTTCCTGCCCAGAGAGAGCTGGGAGTCCACATGTCATTTTAAGCTATAAAAAAACCCATACATCTGCCATCTCAGGCTGGCAATAATTTTGGCATTAAAACTTTTTAACATTTTATCTAGATCTATATATCTATATCTTTATTTTGTTTGTTCTATTGTATTCCATGTACTAATAGACACACTCATCTTTAAAAAAATAAAATCTGTTTCTCTCTCTAAACTTAAATATAGGTATTTGAGCTTATCACGCTTCATGAGATCACTCTTCTGTTTTCTTTTTTTTTTTTTTTTTTTTTTGAGCCATT